CCTCCTCCTCCTCCTCCTCCTCCTCCTCCTGCAACGCAACCCGGCGGAGATGCAGGAGGCCGAGGAGAGGGGGAGGGGGGTGAGGAAGAGGGCGAGAAGACAGTCATCGACCCGACCGATGCTCGACGCCATCTGGGGCGACCCTGGCCCAGAGGACGCCGAGAACTAGTTCGCCACCAGCGCTGCCGCGTCATTCCGACGGGGCCGCGGTCGGTCTGCATCGTGCGGGTTCCTTGTGCAACATGCCCAGGGGGGCCCAAGCGTGGAGGTCGCAGGATGCTCGGTTGGGGGGACTCTTGGGAACAGCGTGGGGCCTCAATGGGAGACTGGGGGGTCAACAGCAAAGATCGCGGAAGGCGCTGTCGACATCTCTTGCACGGGTTAGGCCAGGCATTCTAGTAGTGATGACGTTTGGCTCCAGGTTCGCCTCTCGCATCTCGCCGAGCAGCGCCAAGACAAGCCGCCACTTCTCGCCCGTCCCGCACGCGCTGATACCAGCAGCGTAGCTGATGACGTCAGGTTCCAGCTTCGACCCCCCCATCTCGTTGAGCAGCGCCACGGCATGCTGCCACTGCTCGTCCTTCTCGCAGGCGCTGATCCCAACGTTGTAGCAGTTGACGTCGGGCTTCAACTTCACCTCCCACATCTCGTTGAGCACTGCCAGAGCCCATTGCCACTGCTGACCCTTCCTGCACGCGTTGATCCCAGCGCTGTAACTGACTAGGGCTGACCCGTGGACTAAGTCCAAGAAATCTGCACGAATTGGCTTGTGGTCGTGGACACGCTGCCGAAAGACTGACATGATGATGTGGGACTCGAACTTCGCATTCCACTCATGCTACTGCATGCTGCTGCTTGCTGCCACCGCTGCGTGCTCTTAGGCATGCTTACCGCTGAAGCTTGATGTTGCTGCTTGAAGCTGCAAGCTGCTGCTGATGGCCAGTTGTTCTACTTTATACGTGCTGCTGCCCGATGCCTGCTGCTGCTTGCTGTTGCTGTGTGCGCCCGCTGCTGATGCCCACTTGAGGCTGCTGCCGTTCGCTGCTGATGTTTGGTTCTGCAGGGTGATGCTTGTTGCTACTTCAGCGTTCTGGCTAGACGTGCTGCGGGAAGAGGATCGAAGAGCGAGGCGTCAGGATCGAGAAGATCGAGGATGTCCACGGGGGAGAAGCGACAGCTGATCAGCGAAAGGTGAGGAGCGGGAAGGGAGGAGCGACGGCCGAGGGAAGACGGGCGAGGAGCGTCGAGGTTCGAGGAAGTTCGTCGTCCCTGTAAACCTCTGGGGACCGTCTTCGGGCTCCAGCGCCGTCCAAAAAATCGATCTGGGATGAAACTCCAGTCTGGACGGATCCCCCCGTCGGGGGGCCAATGCCTTCGTGGGGATGTTGCCGATTTGAGGGTGCGCTGGGTTGGAGGCTCGAGGAGTCGATGTCTGCTGCCTGTTTACTCGGAGTGCTTGCTGCCAGTGCTGTTTGCGAAAAGTTTGCCTGTTGTTTATCGGCCTGTTTGCTTGCTTTCTGGCTGCTTGCTGGCTGGCTGGCTTGCTCCTTGTTGCTTGCTGGCTTGCTTGCTTGCTGGCTTTCGGCTTGCTGCCGCTGATTGCTGCGGATTGCTTCCGAACGCTCTACTGGGGGTCTTCTGGACCGAATCTGGGCCCTCTCATGTCCTCCTTGAAGTGTCTTGGGCGACCTTGGAGCCCCAGTGGGCCTTCGGGAAGTAGAGGGGCATCGGGAGAGGGCGTCTTGGGCCGCCCTGGGACGATCTTCCTCCTCCTCCTCCTCCTCCTCCTCCTCCTCCTCCTCCTCCTCCTCGGAGCCGCCTTGGCGCAGGCCATTAAGCAGCGCATAGGCGCCTCATTGGTGCCGATGCTCACTGTGTGGCTGCGGCCGCCCGAGGCCGGAGGAGGCACGCGGGCTGCGCGGGCTCGGAAGAGGGCAGACGGCGCCGCGAAGCACGCCCCTGGTGGTCGGCGGTTCCGGAGCAGTCTCAGGGAGAGCTCCTCGGAGCCGCTCCAATGAAGGGAGGAAAAAAGAAGTCCTCCTCCTCCTCCTCCTCCTCCTCCTCCTCCTCCTCCTCCTCCCACTCCTAGCCCTTTCGATCAGGGTCGGCGGCACCGGCCGTCAGGCCTCTCCAATGAAGGGAGGAAAAAGGAAGCGCCTGGATGCCGAAGTTCTGGCTGGCTGGCGCAGTCCCAAGGAGCTCTTCTAAAGATCATCCATTGGAAGCCTGTCGGAGGCGGTTTGGGGGTGTCTTGGGG